GGTGAGTTATCCAGGTATAAGGCCCGATGGGTGGTCCGCGGATTCAATCAGCGTTTTGGCGTTGACTACAGCGAAACTTTCAGCCCCGTCATCAAGCCTGCCACGGTCCGAATCGTCCTTAGCCTCGCGTTGTCTCGTGGGTGGCCCATCCATCAGCTCGATGTCAAAAATGCCTTCCTCCATGGACAGCTTCAGGAAACCGTGTATGCTAGCCAGCCCTCAGGATTTCAGGATGCAAATCGCCCTCATCATGTCTACCGGCTCAAGAAAGCTCTTTATGGTCTGAAACAGGCACCCCGGTCATGGTATCACAGATTTGCCGGTTTCATTCAGACTATTGAATTTCGCAGCTGCAAATCTGACACCTCTCTCTTCGTATTCACGCATGCCTCGGGGACCGCCTACCTCCTATTATATGTTGATGATATCGTCCTCACTGCCTCCTCGCCAGGGCTTCTTCAGAGTCTCATTCAGAAACTCAAGGCTGAGTTTGCCATGACAGACATGAGTGATCTGCACTTTTTCCTCGGCATTAATGTTCATCGCACTGCTCAGGGCCTTTTCCTCCATCAGACACAGTTCACTCACGACATCCTTGAGAGGGCAGGGATGGTCTCCTGCCGCCCCATATCCACTCCAGTCGACACAAAGGCTAAGCTTTCTTCCTCCTCCGGCACGGCACTTCCAGATCCTTCTCTTTACAGGTCCATCGTAGGTGCTCTACAGTATCTCACATTCACCAGACCTGATATCACTTATGCCGTTCAGTAGCTCTGCCTCCACCTTCATGCGCCCCGCGACTCTCAACTCACGGCCATGAAAAGAGTTCTCCGTTATCTTAGTGGCACCGCCACTCACGGTATCTACCTGACTCGCTCCTCGACAGACTATCTCCAGGCTTATTCTGATGCTGATTGGGCTGGCTGTCCCGACACCAGACGTTCCACTTCCGGGTACTGTATTTTTCTGGGTGACAACCTGATTTCCTGGTCTTCAAAACGCCAGGCCACCACTTCCCGCTCCAGTGCAGAGGCAGAATATCGGGCTGTGGCAAATGCAGTTGCTGAGACTTCTTGGGTCCGAAATCTTCTTCTTGAGCTCCAGCAATCACTACGACGCGCCACCCTCGTCTTCTGCGACAACGTCAGCGCCGTCTATCTCTCATCAAACCCAGTTCAGCACCAGCGCACCAAGCACGTTGAAGTCGACATACACTTTGTGCGAGACAAAGTCGCACTCGGCCATATCCGAGTCCTTCACGTGCCCTCTTCTTCACAGTATGCTGACATCTTTACCAAAGGACTACCTTCTCTACTCTTCCTCGAGTTTAAGTCCAGTATGGGTATCAGACCCCCTCCTCATCCGGCGTAGCCGGGAGCATGTTAAATATATTCTATATTTAATGTAAATATATTGTTTCCTATTATTGTCTCCTTCCTTGTATAGGATTAGGAATATATTGTTTCCTATTATTGTCTCCTACCTTGTATAGGATTAGGAATCCTTGTGTATATATAGACATGTACTCCCACATATTCAATCAATGAAATTAACCTTTTTACATTCTTCTCCTCCTCCTCCCCCCTTTCAACCTTCGATCTTCCAGACCCGGCCCCTACCACTCACCCTTATTTCTTCTCTTCTCCATCTATTATTATTATTATTATTATTCTTATTATTTTTATTATTTAGTTATTTTACTACTATATTTTTAACAAAAAAAACACTAAAGCTCCCACCAAAAAATTGTACCCTCATTCTTATTATTTTTTGTTAACAAAAAACCATCATTCTTATTATATTATTACTACGTATTATTATTATTTATTACAAAGTATTATTTTTTTCTTCTAAATTATTATCGTTAATATTAAAAATTAATATTAATAATTTTTTTGTTAACAAAAAAACCATCATTTTTATTATATTATTACTACGCATTATTATTATTTATTACAAAGTATTATTTTCTTCTTCTAAATTATTATTTTTAATATTAAAAGAATGATAATTTGCCCTAATAAAAGAATGATAATTTGCCCTAATAAATCCCAATTTTGAGTAATTTATATTCTACATCCGAACATGTTGACATCCGGTGAGCATTATACAATTTGCAAATGTATAAACACTAATTTTGTGACGTGCATACTATGAATATTTGTATCACAGATCTAATTATCTAAAGTGCATTCCCAATTGACTAAAATAATGTTTCACCAGGTCATACTCCCTCTGTCCCCTAAGATTTTATTATTTTGACATTTTGTGGTTTTTAAGAAAAGTTAAAAAAAGGTAAAAGTTTACCAAAATACACTTAATGAAAATGTGTAGAATGTATTAAATGATGTAGGTGAGGTGTAATAAATAAAATAAATGATAATAGGTAGTTGTAATATTTTAAATGTTAAAAAAACAATGAGAACATCTATGATGGATAAATAAAAAAGGCTAATGGAAAAATATATGGAAGAGGGAGTATAAATTTTACAGATAATAGTTGTTTTTGGAAAAATTATCTTAGATTATATCACTTTTTCGTGCTTTTTCAAAAATAATCCTACTTTTCACTGTCACCAGAATTAATCCCACCTTTCCGCATGCTTGCGAGTTTTGGGTCGCCGTTAAAAACCTAACGGTCACTTAACGAAATTTTTGAAAAATGTTTGTTTTTTGCAAATAAATAAAAGGTGAGATTATTTTAGGTAAATTCTCTTTTTTCATTTTTTTAATTTCTAACTTTAAATTTAAATGTATTTTTCAATTTTTTTTATAAATAATACAAAATTTAAGTGTTTTTTAGAATGAAACTAAATATTTTTTTCAATAATCGATAATCTGGTAATAATTAAATAATAAATTATTCTACACAATAGAGCTAATTTATTTACTTCATAACTCACTACATTTTTTGTGAGTTACAATTAATTTTCTTGAGTGGCACTTTGAATTATTTTTTGATACTATATTATTATTATTTCTTAAAAAATGTCATTACAAAACTTGTGAATATTTTTCGATAATTCTATATAAATATTTTTTGCAAAAAAACATTACAATAGTTGTGAAAATAACATAATAATTTTTTCTCTGAAATGGAACTTTTATTTTTATAACTCACTACTCTCTCCGTCCCTGAGTATTTGTCCACTTTTGACTTTTTTCGGTCAAAATTGGGAAATTTTGACCTCAAATTAAATAAAAATGATATTAGATATTGATTCAAAAATAGTTTTATTCAATTTATTATATCAAATATTTTCAAAATATGATTTTATCTCACTAATATATACTCGCAATATATATTTTATTTAATTATATAGGTCAAAGGTTGAAAACAGTTGACCAAAAAAATCAAAACTGGACAAATATTCGGGGACGGAGGTAGTACATTTTTTGTTGTATTGCAATTTTTTTCATTAGCATCTATCACTCTGAAATATTTATTGATAATCTTCTATTACCTATATTTTTTCCAAAATGGAACTACCAAACTTGTGATATTTTTTATAATTAAGTACAAATTTTTCCCCAAAATAGTAATTCAAAAGTTGTGAAAATAGCACAATATTTTTTTCCTCCAAAACAAAACTAATAAATTTCATAACTCAGTACAATTTTTTTTGTATTGCAATTTCTTTCTCAATCGATATTTTGAATTGTTTTTGATAATTCAATATTATATTTTCTGAGAACAGAAAATAAAATTTGTAAACCATTAGACAAATCTCTAACAGGAGTATACTATTATATTTTTAAAAATATTTTATTTTAAATTTGAAATTAAAAAAGAAATTTTTTTGCCTAAAATAGTCTTACCTTTCATTTATTTGCGAAAAGAAGGCATTTACCAAAAATTCTGTTAAGTGAGTATTAATTTTTTAACGGCTATCCAAACTGGCACACATGCAAAAAAGATAAAATTTTTTACGAGAATAGTGAAAAAGAAGATTATTTTTGAAAAAAAACTTGAAAAGGTGGAATTTTTTGTTGTTGTTTTGGTTAGGGATGGCAATTCAACCCGAACCCGAGCTTAACCGACCCGACCGACCACTAAAATATCCGAACCCGAACCGAGAATAAAATAATCCGAACCCGACCCGAAATTTTTTACCCGAACCCGACATCGGGTCGGGTCGGGTGTGTATTTATAATTTTACCCGACCCGACTAAAACCCGAATATTTTATTACATAAAAGCCTATCTATGAATATAATAAGCACTCCGTATAATTTCTTGGCAAAGTGCTACTATATCAAGTATGTTTTTTATAATCATTTTTATAATTCGTTAATAAAAAATGAGACATAAAAAAGAGACATGAAAAAAATTAGATTTAATCATTTCAAAATTATTGGGATACGTCGAATTGATTATTGGTTAAAAGTCGGGTTCGGGTCGGGTTCGGGTTTTTAGCTTAAAAGGTCGGGTTTCGGGTCGGGTTCGGGTTTCGGTTTTAAAAGTCGGGTCGGGTTCGGGTATAGTACTATCCGACCCGAACCCGACCCGTTGCCATCCCTAGTTTTGGTGTTTAAGTTTGTTGTTTTAGCATTAAAAAAACGACGACTCCATAGAAAATGGGGAATGGTGTGTTCAAACTTCTCAAAAATGGGCAAGAGAGAACTGAAAAGACGAGATGGAATGATCATAGCATTGTTTGCTGCTCTTAATTAATAATTACGGAGTAGTAATTGAAAAGATTAATTACCAGTCCTCCTCCTCCTCCTCCTCCGGCTTCCCCATTCATTCATTCGTCCAGTCCCCCACCGGATTTCGTTTCTGGTAAATCACACTGCTTTATTTGTTACTATTTCATACTCACACATCAATTTTGACTGTTACTTACCTTAGGAGTAGCATTTTAGAGAGTAGATTTTTTGACGGGTTGTTCTATAATGACGTCTCCCAATCGTGTCAAATGTATTCTTCTTCTTCAAACTGCTAAAGATACAGGGCCGTTGTGTGTTTTAGTAATCATCAGTTCAATATTTCTTGGTTTACTTCAATGTGAAATTCTTTGGCTTGATATGATTTTTTTTTCCGTTTGTTTGGTGAAAAAATGACAGTTTTGGCACATCTGGGTGTTAAATATGATGATATGATGTTTTGTTTCATTTTTATTTTTGGTTGGGTTATGCGGAATGAAGGAGGAGGAACGTATCACAACGTAACTTCAGAGAGTAAGAAATTTCAATGGATAATCTTCTGATGGCGAAATTTACATGGATGATCAAGAATTTCTCGCTATTGGGAACTAAAGATCTTTACTCTCTCACCTTCCTTGTAAATGAGAACAAATGGTATATCCCTCCAGTTTGGCATCATTAATTAGTGAGATATTCCGTTTATTATTACCTCTGACTCCTCGACTATTTGATTTGTCAAGTTATTCTGTCAAGAACTCAATAACAATTCTCTCTTTTTTTTAATGATTCTGTAGGAAATTGCATCTTTATCCACAAGGGAGGGATGCAGATCATCATTTGTTCCTGTTCCTTTGCGTTGCCAATTCATCAAGCTTACCAGCAGAATGGAGTATACCCACAAAGTATAGTTTATCTATCATTAACCAGATAGACCCCAGCAAAACCATCAAGATAGGTACTTCTCTAGAACTACTAGTACAATGACATTTAAATTTCATATCATTACGTGTAGACATCATCACTTGATGCTTAGTGTTGCACTAGTATTCTATTTTTTGTGCATAACGCAGAGTCCGAAAACACTTTCCATTCTGGAGCTAATGGTTGGGGCCCGTCAAGATTTATCGAGCTCCATAAGCTTCATGATAAAAGTGAAGGTTATCTTGTAGAAGACACGTGTTTGATTGAAGCTGAAGTTTATGCTTCTCCACCTTCCAAAGATATAGTATGTTTAATCTTTGCATGACATTGTCCGGGGCTCTTTTTCTGATTTGTACATTAATCTTAAAAAACAAAAATGTTTTGTCTGTGATCATCGGGATTCGGATTCTTCTGTTGATGTTGATCCTATACAGTCCGGGTACATAGAGGCTCAATCTTTTCTTGAATCACGCCCAATGCTCCCACACGTGAAATGCATTTGTTTATTAAAAGAGATGCGACTTTTGCAAAACAGATACTCGACAAACTAATGTCATACCGTTTGGACGATTTAGCTGATCCGGAGCATGAATCTGCGATGATGAATTCTCTGTCTACACTGACCGACCACCTTTATCTGTTTCGCGATGCGCAAGCCCAAGAAATTGTGAAGTTGAAAGCTACATTTCCTCAAACAATGCTAGAGTGGAGAGAGTCCTTTCAAGTCAAGAAGGACACTAGTGTCCATCCATGGTCTACTTTTGAGAAGGCCAAATGTTTTCTCCGAGAATTGGTGAAAGCAGAAGACGAAATAAAGATTGAACTGGAGGATCTAACCAAGAAAGAAACTGAATTGGAAGCTCAGCTGGAGGTAATCCAAAGCAAGAGTCAACTACTCAAAGAGGAAAGAGAAGAAATTTCAAAGCAGATGAAGATATTTTGGTCTCTTGCTAGGGACAAGGTTAGCAAAATGGAACTTAAAAAGGTTAAGGTGGACAGTGCAAACCAACAGCTGGAGCAGAGATTGAAGTTAAAATGGGTTGCAATGAGACATCTCTTTGGAATTGGCTGGGAAGGAAAAAATGGGATGGCCAATAACACCCAGTTTCCCATACACCACTGTTTTTTATAATATTATTACATTTTTACCAAGTCTTTATCTAACTTGAAGGCATTCTGTGGATGTTTTTTGGAGATGTTTCTCAAGACTGCTGTTTTTTGTTACTTTAGTTGTTTCTCTCTTAGAGAATGTGGCCCAATTAGTTTTCTGGTGTGCATGCTCTGAAAATGTGTAAAAATGTTGTACTTTGTCTGCAATTTTGTTTTTATCATTTCAAAAAATATTTTTACCATACCAAAAAAAAACTGAAAAGTTGTTGAAGCACCCAAATGAGCAGCACACAATTACCAAATGCACATCACACAAATTTAGGAATGTGTGAAAAAATGTGCAAAATAAATTCTCCGCAATATGTAATTTGAAAATATGTATATGTCAAATGTACAGTAGATATTGTAAATTTGGAATTTGGATGTTTAATACATGGAGTATATGTCAAATGTACCAACTTTGCACTTCTATTTCACATAATGTGAGCTTGTATTTGCATCCAGAAAAATATTGCCTGAGTGCTTCAACTCCTCATCACTGCAGGATAAAGAGGGGTCATGGTAATTTTAAAAAGAAATATTTGCACTAAATAGTATTAAAACTTAAGTCATTTCTCTAAATAGCACTTAAAATGTTTTATTCTCTAAATAGCACTTAATAATGTCCATAATGTCCAGTGATGGCAAACATTTACTTGAATAATGACTAATGGATAATGAATAAAAGTGCTACTTTGGGAAAAAATACATGTGATGCTATTTAGGGAAGGTCATTATGTTTTAGTGTTATTTACGTAAATTTCCCTTTAAAAAAATATTTCGTACATTATTTGTTTCAAAATACTCCCTCCGTTCCCAATTTGATTACAAATTGAGGATTACGAAGTAAAATTTTCTACTTTTTGAAATCATTTTATTTACAAATTGGTATATCAATAAGATATAAAAATTACATATTAAAAAACTACGTCAAAAGTTCTACAAAACAAGGGGTGACAAAAATATTTTATTTTATCAAATACTTAATGAAATTGCGTAAACAAACAAAAGTTATCAAGGGGAGAGAGAAAAAAATTGTAATCTATTTAGGGACGGAGGGAGTAAAATTTATGATATTTTTCAAGATACATTTTGAGCTTCAATTTAACAAAAATTGAAATATATTAATATAAAAATGATTTTATTAGACTTATCAAATTGAGACTTTTCCATTTTTTTAATCTTATTGTCTTAATATGCAATATAAATTGAAAGTAATTGAAACTCAAAGTTTTTCCAATTTAACTCGAAAAACTCAAAACAGACCAATATTTTTTTAGTTTTTCTTATTCGATTCACATCACATCAAATTAAAAATAGCTTTAAATACGACTACGTTTTAGATCAAATTAGTCGAGTCTAGATCAAAACGTATTTCAATCAGATAATAAGGTGAAGATAATATGGCATGAGATAATATATATGGTTGGGGTCTTGGGGATGGGCGGTGGCCCCTGAGCCGGTGACGCAGTACAACTTGGGGTACTGCATATGTACCCCAAGCCAACACAGACACACACAAACACAAAATGTCTGTGCTGCACAGACATTTTGTATTTGTGTGCATCTGTGTTGGCTTGGTGTATATATGTGAGGTACCCCATGTTGGATTGTTGGTATACCCCTAGGTTAATTGTGCCATTAATCCATTATTACAAAGATTTGGGGAGGCCATGCCGCTTCAGCTTCTCTATGCTATAAAAATAAATGTCTCCCTAGGTGTTCAAAGCTTTTTGTTCTCAACAACCTCTTAGTAGTTAGTCCTCTGGCAGGTCAGCTTCCACACCATCCTTCAGGCCAAATAGCGCCAGTACTCCCGTGCTTTGCAAAATATGCACCAAAACCCTCTCTGTTTTCAAAATTTATTTCTAAAGTACTTGTGGTTTCAAAATGTTGCACCCGTGCCCCCTCCGATCATTTTCCGGCCATTTTTCCGGCGAAGAAGGGGGGCATTGCTGCATATTTACTAAACCACGGGGGGTATCGGTGCTGATATTTATTTCTCGCTTATTTTTTTGTTTTTTTCCATTTTTTCCTTTATGTGTTACTTTTATTAATAAAGGTTTTTTTTAATTATGTTTATAATGCTCATAAAATTTAAAGTTATTTTTGTTTGAAAAATTAACATATAATGTATATGTACTTCTCAAATCAACAATTTTTGTTTTTTTTGAAAAAAGTAAACTTTTTTTTGGAGAATTTCAAAAAAATGACGAATATAATAAGAAACAAAATAATAGAAAAATAAAAATGAATATCTTTTTCGAACATCTCAATTCTAAGGACTTTTTTAGGCCACCTTGGTTCCCATGACATTGGGCTTGTCCATTTATTGTATCAGACTTTTTTTGTGTATTTTTATTTTTCATTTTATTTTTCCAT